TGTCATAACTTATATATGGTACACATTCTAAAAATAAAATAGTAAGTAGATTGCTAAGGCGCCTTTTGGTAACATTTACGTTTTCAGTTTTCAGTTTATATTTACAAAAATTTTAAAAACTCAAATAAAAACTTATTTGATAAATTTTTTATTTATAAATCAATGGTCTCAGTTTATAAATTTGGCCAAAAAATGTAAACATAAAATGAGTTTACGTTTTGAGTTTTTAGTTTTTTTTTTTTAGTTTTTCTTTTTACCACCCAACACTAGCCACTACCCGCCACTATTTTCCACCACCGTCTTCCGCCACCACCATGCACCACCCACCCCCTACCACCACCTGCCACCACCACTCGCCACCCACCAGCCATCACCAACCACCACTCGCCACCCACCAGCCATCACCAACCACCACCCACCACCCACCTGCCACCCACCCGGCACCACCTATCACCCACCACTGCCATCCACCGCCCGCCACCACCACTCACCACCCACCTACTACCACCATCCACCACCCGCAACCACCAGCCACCTACCACCCACCTGCCGCCACCACCACCACCCACTCGCTATCACCCATCACCCGCCACCGTCACCCACCCACCCACCACCACCACCCGCTACCTACCCGCCACCACCAGCCATCCGCCATCCGCCATCCGCCATCCGCTTGCCACCACCACCCACCACCCGCCATCACCACCACCACTCACTCGCTACCACCTACCACCGTCACCCATCCACCCACCACCACCACTCGCTACCTACCACCCACCACCACCTGTCATCCGCCACCCACCTACCACCACCACCCCCCTGCTACCACTTGCTACCCATCACCCACCATCACCACTTTCCACCACCGTCTTCTGCCGCCACTTGCCATTTATCACTCTTTTTTATATTTTTAAATTTTTTTAAACATTTTGTCAATTACCAAACGCATTTATAGTTTATGTTTTTCTAAAAACAAACAAAAAACAGTTTATAAAATTTTTGTAAATATAAACTGAAAACGTAAACCCGACCCCCCCCCCCGCCATCATTTTCCCCCACTGTCTTCCGCCGCCACCACTCGTCTCCACCCACCACCCGCCCCCACTTGCCATTTCTCACTCTTTTTTATATTTTTAAATTTTTTAAAACATTTTATCTAAACCAAACGCATTTGTGGTTTATGTTTTTCTAAAAATAAACAAAAAATAAATAAAAATCAATTTATAAAATTTTTGTAAATATAAACTGAAAACATAAACGTTACCAAACAGGCCCCCAATTATAAGTACTCAAAATTTGTAAAAATGGTAAAATAGTAAGTGACAAGTAGAGTCACAATTAGTGGTAAATAGAATCAAAACCAATGATAAGTATTGTGTTTGTAAATGCTAACTATTTAATGATTTTTTACTTTTACTTAATCATACATCACTTATTAATTAATTGTACTTTACTTACTAGTCAATCAGCGTTCATTTACTACTTCATCAGATTTGATTTTTTATTCAATCAAACTCACTTGCTATTCAATAAAACTCTCCTTACAATAGATTGGTAAATAGAGTCACAACAAATAGTAAATATTATATTTATGAACGACAAGTATGATTTCGACATTGAGTTCTACAATCTATCTTGATAGCGATAATAATGGAGTGTTTTAGAAAGTTGGTAAAAAGTTGACTTTTGGCTTTTTACCAAATTTTTTAGCTTTTTGAAAAGTGATTTGGGAAGTTGGTAAAAAATTAGCTTTTGGCTTTTTAGTTTAATATTTGTTTATGGTGTCAAATCAAATTAAAATGACCAAAATACCTTTACCCAACATAAGAAATTTATTTTTTTTTATTTTTTTGTCATAAGCCCCAATTTGTAATTTCACACTTGCGTTTTTGGCACTTCCCAAACCAATTTTGTTGCGTTTTTGCCACTTGCATTTTTGGACATTTTGACAAAAATGTAGCTTTTTATTTTGGTTCCCAAAACGGCACAATGATTAAATATGAGCCCATTTATTACTTAACATCCCACTTATTACTCTATCAAATTATATATATATTTTGGATATTTTAGATTTTTTTAAAAGATTTGAATTTATAAAAATTACTAATAGGTTTTCATTTATCCTTCTCAATAATACTTGATTTACTACTTCATTAAGTTGACTTATTATTCAATCAAACTCCACTTACCACTCAATCAGATTTGACTTACTACTCAATTAAATGACATTTACTACTTAATGAGACTCTACTTATTACTCTTCAAACTTGACTTACTACTTATTTAGGTACTATTTTATTTTACTCCGCTACGTTATTAATTTGTTAATTTAAGAAATGGCCTTTGGTAACCTCTTTTATCAATTAGTTGCGACGTCTAACTTCTGAGCACCAAGGTTGGGTGTGACAAGAACAAATGATAAGTAGAGTCACAATAGGTGGCTAATGCAATTAAACGAATGGTAAATATTGTATTTATGAATAATAAGTATTATATCAATAAATTGTATGCATTGCTATAATAAGTGGTAAATAATGTCATAATTAGTTGTAAGTAATAAAAATATCCATTTACTATTAGATTTGACTTTCTACATAATGAGATTTCACTTATTATTGAGTGATAAGTAAAAGGGAAGTGATTGAGAGCACCTCCAATCATCACCCCCACACACATGTGGCGAGTGGTGATTGAAGGAGAAGGAAAAAAAGAAAAAGAAAAAAGAAAAACTGGCCGATCAGAGAGAGAGGGGGTCAAAGGGGTGCCTCATTGAGGGGGTCCAACTCATTTTCCTAAGTAAAATGAATGGTAAATAGAGTCACAATGAGTGATAAGTACAATGAGAATAGATATTAAGTACTATGTTTTTAGATGGTAAGTATTATCTCAATAAATTGTAAGTATTGTTATAATAAGTGATAAGTAATGTCACAATTGGTTTTAAAGTAAATTAAAATGCCCACTTACTACTCTATTATACTTGAATTATTACTTAACAAGATTTCACTTACTATTGAGTGGTAAGTAGAACGAATGATAAGTCTCAATGAGTGGTAAATACAATGAGAATAAATAGTAAGTTATGGATAGTAAGTAATATCTCAATAAGTTGTAAGTATTGTATTGTTATAATAAATGGTAAGTAATGTTACAATTGGTTTTAAAAATATATATATATATATATATATATAAATAAAATCCACTAACTACTCAATTAAACATGACTTACTATTCTATCATACTAGATTTACTACTCATTTAAACTATACTTACCACTCAATCAAACTCCGCTTACTATTCCATCATATTTTATTTTTCTTATGACTTAGTAAAATCTCATAATTTTTCTTTAATTAGATGAAATGTTATTATAACAAAACCTTAAAATTGAATTAAAAACATCATAGAAGGTTAAAATAAAATAAAGATGTCCGGTTGTGCACAGTAAATTCATAAAAAATTATGAAATAATTAAAAATTCAAAAAAATTTGATATGAAATTCATATAAACTATATAAAGTATACAAAATTGTTAAGTAATAAAATAAAATTATCCATCTCAAATTATTAAACAAAAATGTAAAATTTTATATTTATTATACACATTTTTTTACATTCTACTTTATAAATTTCATATTTATTTTAGAAGTTTTCAAAATTTATTATAGTTTAATACTATTAGTTACCAGCTAACTTACTTAGGTGAATTTTGCTAATACCTGAGTGAATTTTGTGGAATAGTAAGTATAATCATATAAGTGATAAGTTTGCTTAATTATTGTGGTAAGTTGAAAATTCATATTTTTGTTTCAAAACTAGTGAATACTACATATTTAACTAGATTTACAAACTAATTTATTTTTATAATTTTTTAATAAAATTTAATTTATTTATAGATTTTTTTATTTATTATGCTTACGGTTCACAACTTAATATTTATAGAAGTTGTTGAATTTGTAAATTAATTGATATTCACACTCCATATAATATTCCTAAATTTATTAAAATATAATAGAACTAATATGTTTTTCAAAATTATTACTGTTTACTTATTCAACCATTTTTTTATTTGAGGATGACTTTATATCTTTTTCAATGGTAAGTTGAGTTTTATTAATTGGTAAGTACTGCCATATTGAATGGTAAGTATAATAGAATGTACTAGTAAGTTAAATTCATTTTGTTTCTCTAAAAATCACTTCGTGTTTCACCAAACTACCTTGTTTTCTGAATTTGATTTTTATCATTACCAATGAATGGTCAGGATTTCTGCTGACTTCAATCTAATAGCTAAAATTAACTTATGTATGATACATGAAAATCATTTTTGTGTACCACAGAAAATTCCTTGTCTTACTATTTTAATTATTAAAAATTTTAAAAAGTACACATTTTATTTTTTTATTATAATATAAAAACACATAATTAAACACAAAATATATATGAATGGAAAAATAAATAAATAAAATTCAGAAATATATTGCCAGGAGAATTTTTTGAAAAGTCTTATTTATTCTTGTAAATTTTTTTTATCTTCATAACAGAACTGTTACTCAACATGATCACAATTCTCTCCCTCTACATTTTTGTTTTGCATTTCAAACACTAGTTTCTAAAAATGTATTTGAAAAATTAAAAATTAATTTGATAAAAATAAACATCAAAAATATATATTTAAATTTTTAAAAATTATTTCTACCATCCAAAAAGATAAAACTATATACAAATAATAAGTTCTTTTAATTTTTTTTATTTTTTCACGAAACTAAATTTTTATTTTTTTTTAACAAAAAAAATTGAAACAAATTTTTGAAAAGCAAACTAATTCTGGCCATAATTTTGCTTCCTTTGGTGTCACTTTTACAAGGAATAGATACACGACATGAGAACAAGAACTTTAAATTAATAATAATAATAATAATAATTACAAAACAAAACAATGAAGAAAATCCACACACTGTATGCTGTCATTTGATTAGTAATAAAACAAAACTATGACCACAAAAGAAAGAAAATATAAATATTTAATTAGCGTAATGCAATCATACATTCCTATAGATCTAACAGCTCACAAATGAATATAAATGAGAAAAGAAAAGAAAACATTCTCTCAAGAAAAGTCATAAAAAAAAAATAATAATAATAAAATATTTTGTTTAAAGCACTTTTTTTTTTTGTTTTTTTTTTGAATACCTCTCACCCTGTTAGATAATACAAATTGACCCCTAGCAATACAAGAACTCCATTTAGAAAACCAGTTGATAAAGAAACAGACCCTGATGTTGCCACAGCATTATCACTACTATCTTGAGGATTACTGAAATTTGCAGGAACCACAGTGTCCGGTGCTGATTGATCGTCGCCGGAATTCGGATTTGCCGGTGCCGGGGCTTCATCGGACGGGTTCATCAAACTTTTTGGCAATCCTTGTCCATATGTCACATTTATTTTCATGTGCTGCCCAAATTTGCATTGTTCACCATCATAGTCGCCGGAGAAAAAATAATTCATTCCTTCCTTGACCAGAGGAACCGCCACCGTGACCGGCTGTATACTGGTGGAGGAAGGGTCCGTCGTCGACCACTCGGTGGTGTCATTTTCTAGGGCATTGTAGGAATCACAACGCTTGTATGTTGTGAAATTGTATGTTTGTACCACCGAATGGTTACTATCAGTATTGAAAACTGCATCAACAAATAATATGAATTTAATTTTTAAAAAGTTGATTGATAAAAATATATAACGTCATGTAATTTGCCTAAATTTGACTACTACACACCCAAATTTAAATTCCACCCCACAAAAAATTGAGGATCCATTTGATTTTCACTTGCTATCGAAGTGCGTTGGCCCAACCACCGTACCTTTTTTTTTATATATTTAATTTTTAGTTATTTTATTTTATATACATATATATTTATACACATTTAAATAAATTTTACTTTTCTATAACACATATTAACTACATTAAAATTTTCACAACGGAATAGAGCCTTCGAAGATCAAGGCAATACTCGAGATGCCACCTTCGGCCATTAAACTAATAAACATTTTACATATAAAAATTAGATTCATTTTTATCACTTGTCGTGATATAAACGTAGAAAGCTCATTATGAGGTCTTATTATGGTCACTTAGGCGCCGTTTGTTTGGCGTTATAGGGAGGAGATTGGAATTACTAATCTCTTGGTATTACTAATGGAGTGTTTGTTTTGAGAGATGAGGAGGGGACTATTAATCCCTTGGTATTAGTAGTCCCCTTAGAAGGGGGATTGGTAAGGAGGAGGTAGAGATAGTATTAGAAAAATAGTGAGAGGATTAGAATTTTTTATTTATTTTTTATTTTTTATATATTGAGATTTTTTTTAAAAATATAATGTTTAATTTTTTATATTTTTTTATTTGTTTTATTGTTTTATATAAAAATAATTTAACAATTTCTCACTATTAATCCTCTCACTATCAATCCCTTCACTATTAATCCCCTCACTATGAATCTCCTCTATTCTATTTCTATTTCTAAAAACAAACATGGCCTTAGGTCATAAGTTCATTTTTGAATCTTTTGAGCTATTAGGCTCAAATTCTAAAATTTTTTGGCCAAAATGACATAATTTTTTACAAAAGGACAACTTAAAATTAATCTATATGTCTATAGGTTAAAATCAATCTATCTATTTATTTGTTGAAATATGACATATGGCATTCATTTAACAACCTATATATTAAATATCATATATTTCTCTATTTCATCACCATCACCTGCTATCGTCAACTGTCAATCATCGCCGTTGGCCACCAATGACTTTGTCGGCGTGTCTTTATTACCAAATAATATTTTTTTACCATGGATCTGTTACCTTACACCCTTTTGAGATGTACCTTTTACTAATTTTTTCTATTATTATTTTATTTTTTGAATTGATTAAGTGTATTAACGATCTATTTGATGTAATTTATTGTAAAATAAAAATTGATAATAAAAACATAAGCTAAAAGTATTACATCCACAGTTTCTAGACAATTAAATTTTTTCAATTTATTTAAATTATTTTATTTCATAAATTATAAATAAAAAAAATAGACCAAAAATTTTGACATAAATTTTTAAAATAAAATAAATTATTATAAACAATTTAGATAAATTATACAAAACTATCCCTAAAGCGCTGGAGTCTTGAGTGTTTACTGCCAGAAGTAGTGAAAATTAGGTCCAAAAACAAGCAAATCATGTTTTTTTTTTAATATTTTAATTTATGAGTCAATAATAGATAGATGCTTAACTTGTCAATACAACTCAACATTTATTGGTCTAGAAAACCTACTTTTAAAGTGGAGTGGAGTGAGGGTACATGAATATGTCTCACTGAAACAGATGTGATAAGATATCAGCATCACATGGACAGCTGTTTTCACAAAAAAGATATCTAATTCCTTTACTTCACATGCATTGTCAGTTGGGTCTTACACCAAATCCATTATATCACAAAATATAGAGTTACAAAATATTAGGTATTTATTTGGCATGTATTAAAAATATCTAATTCGTTAGATAGCTCGAAATATTAAATGTTCAAATGGTTTAAAATTTTAAAACAACGTTATTTTAAGGATTTTTTTAATTCTCTTACCAATAAGATAATATTTTTCGTACCATTCAAACCATTCGAGTTCTTCACATTCGAGCTACGGATCATTTTCGTAAATATATATATATATATATATATTTTTTGATTATATCAATTAATATCTATCAACGTTTTATTTTTATTTTTTTATTCACTTTCTTTATTTTTTTATATATTTTTTTTATAAAAAATCAAAAAGTATACTTATTTAAAGCATCTCAAACCACCCCTATAAATATTGATTATGTTATGCTTTTAATAAATACTAACAATTTATAAAACTTATTAGATAAATCATTCTTTTTTTTTCAACAATCAAATTAAAAATTATTTGATGGTTATGGAAAAATCTATAATCCTAACTTGATTATTATTGATTAAAACAGTACGACTTAATATTTTTTGTATTGATTTTTAATATATTACATTATCTGTGTCATGCAATGAATGGTGCTCTAAAACTATTTTACTACACATGCATTATTGTTGAGTTAATATGCTTGCACACTTTATGTGAATTGTACTCATAATTTAATCATAGTCTCTCCTAATTTTCATGGTTAATTACATTTTTAATTCATGAATATTTTATTTATGTCATTTTAATTTTTAATATATAAATGATATTTTAATTTGGTCACACAACACAACTCCATGAGTAAAAACTATTAAAATTAGTAATTAATACAAAAATTCATTTAAAATATTACATTTATAGTTTCTCATATATGTGATTTATGTCGTTAAAATAAAAATTTATATAACAAATTTACACTTTTTTAATCCCAGAACAAGTAATATGTGTTATTTTGGTCATCAAAATTAAAAATTTACCTTGACTTTAATAATTTTTAATGAGTAAAGTTATAGAAACAAATTGAAACACTGTTTATAAAAACTAAATTGACCTAATTTAACTATTATGGACTAAATCGAACCATTGTTTATGTACCAAGACTATAAATTGACACGATTTAAATATTATAGATCAAAATTAAACATAACTCATATTTTGAAAACTAAAAGAAAAATGTAATTAATCATAATTTTAATAACTCAATAAAAAAAAACATTATATAATATAAATTTAAATAGTTTTATAATTTTTTTATTAACAAAAGACAAGGTGCATAACGACTTTTAACCACAACCGACACTTCCCTAAGCTCAGTGGAATCCTTTCCATAAAATCTGCTCACAAATGATTATGTCATGATTTCAGAGTTCATATAGAAAGATTTTCTTAATTGATTCCAAAAATAAATTATCCCAAGAAAAAATGAAATAAACACCAAAGCCTTTTTTATTTTCTATTTTCATAAACATTTCCAAAAATAAAAAACAAAAAAATAAAAATAGAACTCAGATCTTTCTGCTGTTTTTTGCTTTTTGGAAAGTAACTTCAACTGTAGTTCCAACCATGGTTTCTAAAATTAGTCACCAATCAAATAAGGCAGAATTACATTAGTTATGCCATATTTAAATTAAAGTTCAGTTTTAAGTTAAAAAAACAAAAGTTTGGTCTTAAAATAACTGGCAAAAAAGTGTGAAGAAAAAAAAAGTTAGTTTAGTCAAATATTTCTATTTATATTGATTGGAATTTGTAATACTCATTTTTTTTGGAAAAATTCCACATACACTTTGATATTCCCATAACAATGGATCAGAATAAAAAAAAATATATATTTTTTCATTTAATTGAAAACCATGAACTTGTTAATACAGAAGATAAACATCTAAGAAAAGAATTGCAAAACAATAATTCTAGACATACTCATATTTGCTACCAAAATTTTATTTAAAAAAAAAAAATATGTAGCCCAGATTTATTCTATAAGTTTGAACTCTATCATATAATACAAGAATTGAATCTGAATTACACATTATTTTCTGGATAAAATTTTATGCGTTGATCACATATTACAAAAATGAAAACATAAAGGCAAGAAATGAAAGGAGAGAGAAATCATGAGTGTGTGTGTGTGATTGAGTTTGAGTACTTACTGAGGAAATCTCCAAGAGAGAAGTTCTTGCCAGTAGCCCATTTTTGGTAATTGACAGTAGGCTTGAGAAGGGTGTCATACCAACCCAATGAGTCACCAACTGTGTAGTTCTTGTATGCTTCAACTTCAACACATCCTGAAAAAGAGATAATCAGAAGAAGAAGACATGGGAATACAAGGCCTCCTAGGTTGCTGCAACTTCTCTGTTCCACCATGTTTTTTTGGGGGTTTGTGAAAACTAGTGGGTGGGTACTGAGTAGATATGGATGGATGTGAAGAGTGAAGAAGAATGAAGATTTGCCTCTTCTTACAAGAGAATAAAGGCAAAGGGCAAAGAGGCAATAGAATTAAGATGCTGCCACTGCCAGCTTCCTTCCTACTAAATATAACCCCCACCTGTCCTCAGATTTACCAGTTTGCTCTCTTTTGTTATTTTCTCTTTATTAAATTGGAATAGTATTTGGACAGATTTGATTAATAAGATTAATAGTGAAACAATTAATAATTTATGTGATTTGTGTAAGATTAGTTATTTTGCTAGATTAGTAAAATCATCTTATTCACGTTTGTTTTGCAATGGATATGGACATATAATCTCAATTGTATGTTTATTTTGCATTATTAATCATGGGATTCAAAAAAATTGTCAATCTTGCCAAATAGAATATCTTTCGGAATCTAATCAAAATAATAAAAATTACAATCAAATATTGACATGTGAGTCTCATGGATTAATTCTCTTAATCATATGCTATAACCCACATAATCAAACATGTCCTTAGGCCCCATTTGTTTTTCGCTATTACAGTCCACTTCGGACTATGATAGATAAACAATGAAGATGGCTCATGTTTGATTTAGTCTTGGAGTTCCGAATTCATAGTCCCTTCGGACTACGATAGGCCTTGGCAAGGGGTATTAATAGTTTGAGCTGAGAGATGGTATTAACAAAATAATCGGTTCGGATTGGGTGTTACCGGACATCCGCCCAGTAGTCCGGCCGGTCAACCGATCAACTGCAATTATTTTATATTTTTTTTACTTGTTGCGCATTTTTTTTAAACATTAATATTTAATGTTTTTGAATTTTTTGTTAAGTAAAAATCATTTATTTATTATTTTATATTTATTTTATATAAAAATAATTTAACAATCCCCACACTAATAACTATCATCAAAACAAACATAACTTTACTAATCCCTTCACTATCAATCCTCTCACTAACAATTCCCTCACTATCAATCTCCTACATTCTACCTCTGAAAACAAACGAGGCCTTAGAACATTTTAAGCATTTTTTCTGATCTCATCACAAAATGAAACTTCAACATTATAGGCATTTATCTCATTCTCTCTTAGCTAATTACATTTAGAGAGTCTTGAGCGTTAGATAAACCAATTTTAGGAGCACAAAATATTGTTCGAGTGTAGATTTGGAAAATTGATTAAGCAAAATACAAAATGTTTTTTCTATATGGATGTGAATTGTTTTCGGTTGAAATTTTAAATGGATCAGACAATTGAGATCTTTAACCGGTAAGAGTCATTAAACGAAAGATTCTGATCAGTAAGAATATTTGAAAAAATTCAATTGAACCACGTTTTTATAAACTCTTTATGTTTAATGACTCTTACTGATGAAAGATCTGAACTATTTGGTCCAATTTAACTTTTAACCAGACACAAGCTAAATCCTTTCTATATACTTTTCTTGGACAAAATGTCTTTGAGTGTTATAGTTGCCTTCTTCAGTTGTGTACTATTTTCTTTAGTGCAATTTTAACCCAATAAAATTGCACTTTATATAAAATTTTTACAAGATGTTCTAATAGCATGTAGTATTTATTGTGCTAAATAAGTAAAAATGCTACAATAGTGTAGTATTTTTTGTGTCTGTGTCACTAGTGAATGTATTTTTCAAGCGCCGCCATGTACTAAGAATAATTTTATGCCGGAAAAAAAAAATTGAGCACTAAATATTTGTTTGTGTTACTATAAATATAATTGACGTGGTTAGGCCCACAAAGGTCATAGCCCACTATGAACAACCCAAACCCATCACTTAGAGCCTAACACATAACCCAACTGATGAGATCCTGAACAGCTAGAAGCCAACATGGCACGAAGAACCAATAATATTCAGACATGTGGCAGGTAAAGGACAAGCCACATCAGCAGACAAAAATCTGCAAAGTTATTGCCACTGCACATTGCAATTAATGCAGCCCATCACAACATTTATTACGACAACACCTCTCCGTCGGAACAGCACTCCCTCACCCTGAACAAGGTAAGTTACAGCATAGACTTTCGGCCAAGGTGGCAGGTTGGAATGGACGGTGAAATGATTACCAAAGGATATAAGCAGACGTTGAAGACAAGAAGAAGGTTTAGTTTTCTATCTCCCATTCATATCTCTACATTCTACTCGTCTCTCTCTAACTTGCTCGTCGGAGGGTTCGCTGGGGGACTCCCCGTTCCCCGTTGAACTCCTGTGCAGGTTCTCAGGTGGGCTTGGCCATTCAGATATCGGTTGAAGAAGCGTGGACCAGTCCGACCCATTCCCTCTGGAACTCGTTGTATCGTAACTGTATCATCAGTTGGCGCCGTCTATAGGAAAGCTTTGCTCCTCGCACCAGTTGTGTTCACTGTCGCCGGAGACCCTATTCTAATAACCCTTTCTCGCTACCCATCGAAGTGTATGGTCATGACTAGATCCATGGCTTCTCACCAAAATGCTGCCGACCACCAAGCCGGCCCCTCCAATCCAAACAACCCACCACAATATTTTATCGAGCTTACCAACAGCATTAACCACATGGCCGAGTAAAACCAAGCCCTGATTAATGCCCTACTCCAAAGAAACCTTCCTATGCCCCCTCCACCACCTCCCGATATTCCTCCCAACTACTGTAGACACTCCATTTTTGACCGTCCTCAAGACTTGGACGTCACTGTTTGAACACTCGGTGATCATCCATGTTCATGTTCGTTTTGAGTTCCCGGAGGTCTCGGCTACGCACCTCGTCTCAGGATCTCTCAACTCGGTTGTCTTGTGCTTGGTTGGATCAAACACTTGTTGGTTTTTGCTTTGGAAGGTAGAGAATGGCTTGTTGGCCATCCCCACGCCTCATCGGCCATGGCTTGAGGCCACCGGCCGTGTCTTCTTTCCACCGGCCATTGGTGATGGCCGGTCGGCACTTTGTGTGATCGGCCGAGCATTTATTTGGCCGATGGACTCCTTTTCTAGCCGGTACCACCTTTTTACCTTTTTCAGGCATTATGCATGCCAGTTGTGCTAGCTGGAGTGTACGGACCTGTCCTCCATACACGTGTATGGAGGAATTTGCACATTTTGCACCCTTTTGGTCTAACTTCTTGAGGAAGCTTGGACCTTTGTCTTAGCTTCCTCAAGAAGCTTGAACCCCTGTCTCAGTTTCCTCAAGAAGCCTTGGCCCATTTGCCTTAGCTTCTTTAAGAAGTCTTGACCCCTTTTGTTTAGCTTCTCTTGGAAGCTTAGGCCTTTGCCTTGTCTATATAAGGCGGCCTCCCTCCTCCTTTGAGGAGGTTCAGCAAAACCAGAGATAATACATATATATCTGATATATAAACCACTCTCTCTCTATATCTCCCTCTCTCTCTTCATTTGTGTGTGTTTGAGAGTTCAAAAGTGTGTTTTGTTCTTAGTTTTGCACTAGGACACATAGTATTACACCATACTTTGGTTCTTGAGGTGTTGAGAGATTGTTCTTGGAGGTTTTGGGCTGGTTTTAATCAGAAGAAGGGGGCTGGACTTGCTGTTCTTGAAGTGTTCTCCAAGGATAACACTATTGCTTTATATTCCCCATTCTTGCACTAGATTTTAACCCCCTTTGCATGCTGTTTGAGCTTTGTGTATAATATATAAAAGTTCTATTTTTTTGTGTTTAAGATACTTCATTAAGGTCATTTTGGTGTTGGGAGTCAACCTCCCCCTCTTAGGCCTTGTTTGGCCCTTTTTGTGCTTTCTTTGTTGAGCTTTGGGAACCTTTGTGCATTGGCCTTCTCACCACTGAAATCCAAAGGATTTTCAGTGGTGAAGAAGAGGTTTTGAGGTCTTGCATAGGGGGAGGGACACCCCTCTCCCTTTGTGTCTCATTTGTTTATGTTTTTGGCTCATAAGGATAACATGTATGCTTAGTTGTTTTTGGCTCCATTTCAGAGGTTTTTGGGTGATATTTGGTCATAATATACCTATATTTTTTGTCAGATTAATGCCCCCTTGCATGCATAATATACTTGCATTGTATTTCTCTATTTTGCCTAGAAATGCATCTTGCCATTAGATCATCATGCTTGCATGTTTTTGCCTAGCTTTGTGAAGCTTTTGGTCACATTTCATCATGCTTGAGGCCTGTTGAGTATTGATTTGATCATGTTTGCCATGTTTGGTATAGCCCCTTTGTATTTTGGTTTGTGAGCCTTGAGTGTATGGGTCATTAGCATGCTTTACTTAGCTTATTCTCATGATTTGGTATCATTGGAGACCATATTTCAGTCCATAATCCATGCTTGTACACTTGCATTTGGCTCTCTTTCAATGCTTGAAAGTGTTGTAGTTTTGTGCCTCAAGAGTTGGTCATTGTGTATGATACCATGTTTAGTCTTTGGGCTGCCATATCAGTGGGTTTTGGGGGCTTATTTTGCATGTTAAAACTCTGATTTTGCATTGGTTAGTCCATGCCACGTGTGGTTGGGGTGGTTGTAATAGAGTGCCCTCTTTGTGGCCCTAAATCCCCCTTGGTTTTGCATCCATTTCTTAGCATGTCTTGACCATGATCTATGCATGCTTTAGTCTTGTTTTGGAGTGCCCTAGGACTGCTTTATGTCATTTTGGTCCTCTGGGGTTTGGTTGACATAGCTATGATTTGGACCCCTTTGTTGGCTTCAAGTTTTGGTCATGGTTGCATGCCTTACTTGCATGACATGGTTGATTTGACATCATCCTCTATACATTTTCAGAGCTTAATATGTTAGTCAAGCATCCATGTTTGTCATCATGTGAGTGCTCTTGAAACTTGTCTTTCATACCTTAGCCTTAGGCTCATTGGTTTGCATGTTTATTTTGCATGATTGGCATCATCATTTTAGTACTTTTGGCCACTATTTTGGGGTGTGGCTGAGGTTCCTCCATTTTAGTGTAGATCCATGGATCATACATTTGCATCTTGTAGCGTGCTCATTACATTGTATGATTGTTGCATCCTTGTAGTTAGTGCATTGTTACATGCTTATCACTTTGCCTAGTTGCCTATCTAGGTTGCATCGTAGCATTGCATGCTTGGCACATTGCACATTTGCATGATAGGTTACATTGCATTTGGCA